GATGATGAATACAAAAGAGTGAGCCTCAACACTTAAGGTCTGTGCCGAGTTTCACCATATCAGAGAAAGTGGCACACACCAGCAAGATTTCACAGATGTTGCATGACATTCTAAATGTTTGATCTTCAGTGTACGTGTGTGAGGAGAACTGTTCTTCAGGACATGAAATGAGGAATTGGGCGAGCCAGACATCACTGACACAAACACCTCTCCTACTGATTTTGTTATCATGGACAACAAAACCACTACAAGTCCTGCAAGTACTGCAGTTGTGATGAGATGATTCCAGTGTTTGACATTCAGAAATACACCGTTCATGCGGTTTAAAAAGGGCTGAATAAAAAAATCCTCAATTGTATAGCCACAGTTGTGCGTGTGTTTTTTTATGCATAAGTGTACTTTTTTAGTTAGTATTTGTATTTAATAAAGCACTACTGCATTAAAATAATTGGTAAATGAAAAACATTACGTATGATAAACAATAATTTTAAGTACACTGCACTTAAACATTAAGCAAAAACAAATTTAAGCTTTTTAGTTTGACTTAATTGTTATTTATAATTAATGTTAACTTAAAAAATTTGAGCTGCTTAATTACATTTTTTTTAGGTAATCGGTGTCCACAAAAATTTTGAGTATTCTGAACTTATCGGGTTTTACAGTGCAGTCGTTTAATTATATTTAGTTCCTTCAGTGTATTTAATGAATCTGTTGTTCTAGTTTTACTCCAGTTTGATTTTGCCACCGCCATTTTGCATTCTGACGACCCATGAACTCTTGACGTGATGACGTAGACACAAAGTAATCGGTTTAACGCATTTACATGGCAGAATTTTTATTTTGTTCGGTTTATAGAAAGGTTTATCCCACCCCTCTCAAACCGATTACAATTTCACTCGGTTTGGGCATTTTTATTCCGATTGAGGTGTTTATATGGAGCATTTTCATTCGGATTGGACTTTTAAACCGATTACAATGCTCCATGTAAACGCACCTATTGATACTTTAAGATCTGGTCACGGTCAGGGATTCAAACAAACCTTTTATCTAAAGTAGTACATCTTGGCATGTAACTTTGATATTGACGCATAATTTACCAGAGACAAAAATTGTTTTAATATTGGCTGTATTACTAAGTGAAAAGCACTAAATTATGGTCAGTTTCGAACGCGCAGCCTTCATTGTCAACAACAAAAGATATGTGAAGTGTTTTCTCCTTTTCAAAAGTCTTTTATTTTGCTAATCTTAAGAAGCTTAACTAAGTGTATTTTATATAGTTATTCACAACATATCAGTACCATATTGGTTAGTGGCTAATATCATTTTTCTTTTATTTATTAGTGTTAGATATTCATTATGAAATATGAAATTGTACATTACCGATCAAAAGTTTGGGGGTGATTTTTATTTTTTTGCATTTATTTGATCAAAAAACAATCATTGTGAAAAAATATTGTGAAATATTATGACAATTTAAAATAACTGTTTTCTATTTGAACAGAATCTAAAATATAATTTATTCCTGTGATCAAAGCTGATATTTTCAGCATCATTACTCCAGTCTTCAGTGTCACATGATCCTTCAGAAATCATTCTAATATGCTGATTTGCTGCTCAAGAAACATTTCTGATTATTATCAATGTTGAAAACAGTTGTGCTGCTTCATATTTTCATACTCAAAAGAACAGCATTTATATGAAATAGAAATCTTTTTGGTAAAACTTTAGTATAGAGACCAATTTTCACTATGAACTAGTTGCTTATTAGCATGCCTATTATTAACATATTGGCTGTTTATTAGTACTTACACGGTCATGCAGAATATGTGCTTTATTCTACATCCCTAATCCTACCCAATACCTAAACTTAACAACTACATTACTAACTATTAATAAGCAGCAAATTTGGAGTTTATTCAAGCAGAAATCATAGTTAATGGTTTGTTAATAGTGAGAATTGGACCTTTAAATAAAAGTGTGACCACCTTTTGTAACATTATAAATGCCTATACTGTCAATTTTTATCAATTTAATGCATCCTTACTTAATAAAATTATTAATTTCATTTAGAATATAAATAAAAATAAATCTTAGGGACCCCGAACTTTTGAACGGTAATGTACATGCTCATACATACCTATTTTTAGATTTTGATTATGCTTATCGTCATCTAATGCTCACTTAAAGTTAACTAAAAACACTAACAATAGCAAACAACCATTCACAACACCATGATTGTGGCCAGTTTTGAAAAGGCAAACATTAAAAATTTACCTCCGTCAGTTTTACTTTTCTCATAAAAAATTTTTTTGTTTTATTACATCTAAAAAGAACTGACCCTTGACTGAATTAAAGAGCTTACCCTTGAGTCATTATTTTGGTACCATGGCACTATGCTATTCTTTTTCAGGGATTCATCAAACTCACTGGTTTCAAAATTTTCCAACCAACCCAAAGCAGCATCTCTGTTTTTGTAATTAACAAAATAAATGCAAGGATATGAAGCATCTTTGGGCACAGAGCAAAGTCAACAACAGCTCTCTAAGAAACGCTGCAGTGCCAGAGACAGTCAGCTTTCGGACTAGAACATATTCCAGAAGCATGTTTACAATTAATTTCTCCGATGTAATACAGAAAATGATACGGTCTCGTGTCTCAGGAGGAGTAGTGCTGGGGTTGCCAGGTTGGCAGGAGGGAGCTGTTTTGCCCTGTCGTGGCAGAGTAATTTGATTTGTGAGCCAGATATGTGCTTCACCTTGAGGGACCTGGCTGTGTCCACTGAAGCGGCTCCAGTGAGGATGAGGAGCAACTGTGCCACAGTTCTGCTTGACTGCAGGTGTCACTGCTCTTTAGCAACATCAGCAACCAGAGGTCAGGTCCACCAGACAACCCGCAGAGATCAGCTGTTATTGTGGGCTTTATGTATTTCCACTGCGTGTTCCCCTTGGTTTTTAAGCCGTGATTTACCATGAAAACTAAATTTGTGGTTACCAGTACTAGTAACAGTCATTTACACAGCCAAAACCTGCTACAAGAAGCTTACCTTTTAATACATTTTCTTTAAAACACTAAAGCAAATTATGACAGAATGACTAACTATGATAGTTTTCATATTTTCAGAGTTCATCATTTTAATGAATTAAAATGTGTTGATCATCACCCTCTTTGTTATTTGTGTGTTGAGTGTAGCGTCTGGACCAATCAAACACACAATATATATTTTGTTAGCTATATTTAACAAATACTCTGTAGGTCATTGTGTATGTTGTCTTTGATATTTTTAGACTATTTTATGCATGCTTATGCTGGAACCCATTCCTGTCATCTTGCCTATAAGTAATCCTACCATGTTTAGTATCTATGAATTCGCCTTCTGATGATCTAAACGAGCTTGTATATTATATGTTGGTACATAGGCGTATATGTGCATCTCACTGAAACTGTTGGATTTCATATATTTGTCTATCAGGGTAATATGCAGTTTTAAGAGGCAAATCAAGCGTAAAAGTGAAAGAATGAGGTTTGTAGCGCCTTGCATTGCTAAATGCTAAACAATTTTTAATTGCCTTGACAATTTTTCTAAAATTCAACAGACTGCTTGTTACTCATTAGAAGAACAAAAGTATTTAAGTTGTCAGTTGTTGAGTTAACTAAACAAGCTGACTGTAATAGGTTGCATTGTTTTTTGAAGTTCAAGGTCAACTTTTTTACAGCACTGATCATGTCTTTTTTATTCAGTGCTTGGAGTTAAGATGACGTGTCAAGTTAAAAATACATAAACCTTAAGAAATGTGTCTCAAGGTCTTTAACATTAAACCACTGAGTATGGACAAAATCCATAATAATGCTTCCTCCACGGTGCTTGATCTGTGCATATTTCTCTACTGATTCAGATGAGACACCTTTTTCACTGGAGGAAGCAAAATTATGGATTATGGACTTTTGGATTAGGGATTATGGACTATTTCAGCAACTGTTTGGAGTAAAAAAACAACTTGATGATGAATTAGTTTCTTACAAACATCAGCTTTTCACTTCACAGGATGGCAATCATGTGGATTACTTGAGGATTATTGAGATGTTTTTTTTTTCATCTTATAAATTAAGTACATTTGGTAGAAAATGTATGGAAATTCATATCTAGAAAAACACTACACTGGGGTCATTCATAATATCATTAAAGTATCAAACTGTTCTCATTTTTTCACAATTAATTCTGCATATTACAACCAGACGTCTCTCCTTCAGGTTGCGAGACACAAAGCTGACCAGAAAAAGATCATTTCAGAGCAGGGATTGAAAATGAGTGTTTTAAAGGACCGTGTTGTATCAACCAATCAGGTTCTTATTAACTGGCCATATAGAAACAATAACCTTATAAAATATCAATAAGGGTTTAAGTCATTAAAAAAGCAGAGATATCAAAAAGTGTAAGCTTACTTAGAGCTGTCATATCATTAACTTGGACCAGGAAAAAATATAAGGTTGCAGCCCAGTTCAGGGGAACACAAAGAACACATAAAACATTTGTGACACTAATGCCAAATTAACTCATGCCCATTCCTGAAGAGAAAGTGTGTCTGAACTTTACAGAGCAACAGTGCCTCCTGCTGGACACCACTTTAACTGCTCTATCCACATTACCTAGAGCAGTGTTTCCCAACCTTTCTTTAGTCGCGGCACCCTTCGGAAATTTTGACAAATTTGTGGCACAGGCTTATACTTTATCCTATACCTTGTCAGTTTGTAATGGTCCAAAATCCTGCCCTACATGATTGCATTTTAAATATGATACAATATGCATTAACATAATAACTCCCACAATGGCATGTTATAGATTATATGTAATCATTCATGTCAACCCAACTTGCCAACTCTCACTGAAAATTAATGTTTCCAATTGTGTGAACTTAGAATTATTCAATACTGAATGTCAATTCTGCAATTAGAGGAAATGACATCATCAGAAGAGGAACTCAGCGGCAAGATGGATGGCATACCTGCGGGAGGTCTTCTTCACTGTGTCTGGATTGGTCTTCTGCTCATCCGCCTTGTCTCTCTTTAGTTTCTGTGAGATGTTCTCTCGGATCCGCTCTCTCTCTGATTCACGATCGCTTTCGTCCTCTGAATCATCGCTTGCATCCTGGAGCAGATAACAGACACAGTCTTACATCGCAGTATGATATCCTCAGAAATCACTGAACTGAACACAAATCAAAGAGAACGTACCTCAAAATCATCTCCTTGGTTCCTTTACATACAGAAACCAAAAATAGATTTTACGTTAATTATGGATTACATCTGCATTATGTAACAAAGACATTACAATAGAAAGGGGAATTATTCAGGTGAAGGTTTTTCTCCCGACCTGTCAATGACTGGAACAGAGCTTAACTTGGGATCATCCTTCAGCAGGTCATGACTGCTTTTGCTTTTCCCTTTCATGGTCTGCAAGAACGGATGAATGCAAGAACGCTGAAAGCACCTACTGCTCATCTTCACACAAATGAATAACCACCTCCATGTAGGAATCTTCTCACTGGACAGAAAGCTACCTGGCTGACTTTACTGACCATCTCCTCATCTTCCTCCGCCTCCTCTCCAAACGACAACAAGCTGAAATTCCTATAGTAAAATTCTCCTGGTTAACATTACATTATGGAAACATTGTACAGCATCAAAATACAAAATTAAACTTTTTTTTTTTTTTTTAAATCAAATAATTTCCACAATCCAATAAATACAAATGGATAAAACCAAATATCATCAATATTTTCAGTTATATATTACAACACAGAATACGTCAGCGGTTCTCAAACAGGGGGCCTCAGGATGACTTAAAAGTATTAAAGGGGTCATATGATGCGATTTCAATTTTTCCTTAAAATATATCAAAATAACCTAACTCTAAATTAATCAGTGTTACTGTTAACTAAAACTAACATTTAAACTATCAAAATTGCTTTTATTAACTGAAATATAGCTGAAATAAAATATAAATATTAGACATCAACTTAAACTTAAAAAGAAAATTAGAAATGTTGCCTTAGCAACTAACTGATACAAAAATAAGCTGAAGTTGACTTACTAAAATTGCTTAAAAAAAAAAAAATATTTAAATTAAAGCACATTTATAATTTTAATAAATACTAAATTATTAGTTTAATAATAATAATAAAACACTGAATGTAATTTTGATTTTAAGAAGCATGTTTCTTTTTTCCATCTCAATAACTATTCTTTTTATTAAGGGCATACAGTTCTTAAAACTTCTGGAATCCAAAAAAAATTGAGGCTAAATTCACTTCAGTATTCTAAGTCACTGTTTAGAAAAAGCTTAAAGAGGAGCCGTTTTTATATTCATATCTTGGCTTATGTGGCCTTTGAATATCGCTTTGGGCAACAGGGATAATTCATTTCAAAAAGTTTGAGAGCCACCAGCATACATCACTTCATAGACATTAAATGCATTGTGAATGATTGTATCATGTTGTCTTTAATGCTGGTATCTAAATAAATGAAAGAAATCACATAAATAAAAGTTTAAGAGTGTAAGAGTGCCATACTTTGTTGCTTTAGACTGTGATTTCTTCCCTTCTTCTTTGTTTTTCTCTTTTTTAACTTTAAGTTCACGTGGAATGATGTCATCAAAGGGAGAATGTAAGACCTGCACAAAACCAACGACTCTATATGAAAACGAAGGTCAATCAAATTAAACGATAAAGCCAGTTCATGAGGGGACTGAACAAACCTCTGTGGATCTAATTTTGTGTGGGTTGAGCGGCCGTTCATCTCTGTCACACGCCACCTCTGCTAGCCTGAGAATGTTATACACCGTATCTCCTGTGACCTGCAGCCAAAAGCACAACAGACAAACTGTGGAAATCAATGAAACAAATAAAAATAATAAATCAAACAATAATAAATGAAATCAGTAACATATATTCATAAACATTACTGGATAAATGAGTAAGACTTATAGGAACAGTTCACCCAAAATTTAGTCAAAAAAAGTCTAAAGCTGCATGTATTTGTTCAAACATACAGTAATATTGTGAAATATAATTACAATCTAAAATAATGGTTTTCTATGTGAATATATTGTAAAATGTAATTTATTCCTGTGATGCAAAGCTGAATTTTCAGCATCATTACTCCAGTCTCCATATTTAATGCATTTTTCATTACAAATTGTATTATCAGCATAACAATCTGCCATCCTTCTAGAACAATGTGCATTTGTTTAAATTGTAACATAAATTATCAAGTTTAGTTATTCTTATTTCTTTATTGCAAAACGCTAAAACTGGCACCGTTTTGGAGAGAAATTGGCTCTCATTTTGACCCATATCATGGTGTGTGATGCTGAACTATGAGTTTCTAATGGTGTTTGTAGTAGCACTGTTCTAAACATTAATATTTTATGTGCAACAACAGCATGCTGTCTCAGTGGCCTTACACAGGATTTTAAATCTATTTTTTCAAACTTTATGATTTAAATGGGGATGATTGTTGTACTGAGAATAACTTTCATCTTTTATTCAACTGAATACTGTTTCCGTGCTGTTTTGATGTATTTTAAAGAATCAACCATAACTTCAGGCGAGCAGGCTCAGAAGTTGGGAATACGTGGAAAGTCACCACTCCCGAATGAGTTCGCGCGAGAGAACGTAATCTTTTAGTTTTAAGTCGGTTTGAACAATCCGGATAAGCGCAAGTAAGTACCATTTTGATTAGCCGTCGTACCTACAATGACTGTGCACTGTGTAAACAATGAGTGACGTATACGCGCGAGAGATCACTTCCAGCGCTTGCGCAAACTACGCCAGAGCACGTACACACCTCACGCGTGCTCAAAGACAGTTGGACATAGTGGTGTATTAGAGGTAAAAAATGATATAAATACTGTTCGGTTTCTGGCACAAACCGATCGTTTCGTGTCTTAGGACATCAATGTGTCGTCACGAGCCGCAGGGTTTAATATGGATTTTTACTCTCATAGATTTTGTTACCATTGCCATGCATTATACGACTGATAGACTACAACGGTTGGAGTTAAAAATCATCATATGTGTTCTACTGAAGAAACAAAGTCACCTACATCTTGGATGCCCTGGGGGTAAGCAGATAAACATCAAATTTTCATTTTTGGGTGAACTATCCCTTTAACAACATGACATCATGACAAGTGCTTCGTCTTGTCTGCATTAACTTCTGCATATCTTACAGTATGACGCCACCTACCCTCCATACAGAGCTGAGTGAAGTTTCTACACGCCTTGGGAGCTTCCTTAGACCAGAGCTCTATATCAATATCACCTGCGGAGGTCTTCAGCAAGACCTATGAGAAAACATCAGTGTGTCATTATACAGATACAACGGTTTTGGTGCTTTAACAAGTTTTTTTTTTCAGTGACATTTGAAAAATACAGGAAACAAATAAATATACATAGCAAAAACAGCTCAAATTACCCAAAAAAAGCCTACTGTATTATATTTGATAAGCAAATTTCTAAGGCCTCTAAAAAAATTTTTTTTAAAACTCACAATCTACTAAATGCTTTCTGTCATCTGACTGATAGTTTATACTTTTTTTAGCAAGTAAAAAGGCCTTATAGTTTAATTAATGTCCACATTAAGGTCCTGGTCTTAAGTAAGGTCTTTAGGTTTAATTGATTACTCGTACATCTTTTTTTTTCTTTTTTTTTTTGAAAAATCATGTTAAAATGTGAGTGTTCATTTGCTCAGTCATCATTGTATTTCACTGCATTATTTGTTTCGCCCCCACAATAAAAACTACAGGGCTTTGGTCATAAAACTGAGCATTTAAATATCATATTACTAAGACATAACATATTATTAGGAGATTTAGAGAGACAACTGATTCATATAATTTAGTGTATGCTTGTGCTGTCCATTATACTCGTATAAAGATCTCATTGATTAACATTACAAGCTATCAGAATTTCATCTCTTTGGCCATATAAATATGAGCAATAGCACCGAATTGCATATTTTGCTCAGTTTTACCCTCTAAATAAATAAAACTGAGGTGTTTTTCCCTCCTCGAATATGAGATCCATATTCTCAATATATCATATTATATGATCCATAAAAGCCTAATACTTCAAATACGATACTCAACAAAACACACATGCAAACTGTTCCTCTTTTTTTTTTTTACTATTAAACTATTATTTCATATGACAGGCTTTAAAGGGTTAATAACACAAAAAGTAAATACAAGTAATAATATTACTACTTTGTTTTAATAAAATACCAAGTGTTGCATGATAACTCTTACTTAAGATACAAAAAGAAGAAAAACAGAAGAAGAATATATCAGTTTTCACGTCTTATATTACATTATGTTCCATGAATATGAGTTTGAGATGTTGTTGAAACTCACCTTTCCATTAGTGGGTGGCTCTTGAATGTATATGTTGCTCATCTTTAACGCGTATTATTTGGTATATTTCCCTCAAAGCTGGTTGACAGCAAAAGTACAAAATATACGCAGGTTTTACAAGAACATCACAAGCACGTCCAACAAATATTAAGTGTTTTGTTATGTGATGTTTACAAGCGAAATCATGTCATGCCGCCAGAGTTGCATTGACTCGCTCCTGCAGCGTTTGTTCGGTCTTATCGCCCCCTACTGTAACGGAGGGTTGGCAGGAGTAGTATGGTAAATATTAATTTATCCTGTCATAGACTATTATCAGAAGATGCAGAATTGAAATGACGGATAGTAAACTCTGCCCTATTTTCAATGTGTAATTTTAAATATATAAAAGCTGAATATCCACGTGTAATTAAGCCTCTGAAGCAGTCGTTGATTGTGTTGCCAGGTGGTAGATGTTACTTTTCTCCGCGCTGGTGAAGATGGACCAATCACAGCCGCGTATGATTACAGGGTTTACTTTAATAAGTTTATTAACAAATAAAAAATAAGGGGCAGGTTTTCATTTATATATCAGGTATAAAGCGACCTTACACCTCTGTCCTCAGTACAACATCGTGCTCTTTAGTGGTCATCTCTCAGCTGGGGAATCGGTGAACAGGTCTGGAACCAGTGTAACGCTACTCGACGTTTCCAGTCGGAGTCTTTACAAAACGGATCGACTTCACGTTTTGAAAAGCGGCGGAGCAAAAACAGACGAGTTGTTTTGCTGTTTTATCATTTAGATCAGTAAACGCTCGAGTATATCATGGCTGTCCCAGGTATGCGTTTGCAGAGATGAACGGATTGTCCATTAGTTTTGCTGATTGTTGTTGATATGCCGCTTCAGGAATGTTCTAGAAAGTGTCCCTCACTTCATTAGTATCTTCACATCAGACACATATCCTTATAGTTCAGACTTCATGTTTTACTCTTAGGTAGCTGTTAACTGGTGTAAGATATTCTGTCAAAACAATGTTTGGTATAATGCAAGCTGCTCGATGTTTTATGGTGTGATCAATTCTGAAATCTTTGTAGATTTAGATTAAATGTCCTACGAAAACTCGTTTTCTTCCAGCTAGTTGTTGGTTTTGTAATAAGTGGTGATTAATTTACGTCCTAAGTCGATATTGAATGTGTTTTGCTAACAGGCCCAAACAAGGACAACATCAGAGCAGGCTGCAAACGATGTGGATATCGTGAGTGAGATCTGTCTGTCTGTTGTTTTCTGTCTTTATATCTTTCTGTTTGTCTGTCAGGGTTTTTTTTCTATCTACCTAACCATGTTAATCTATCTATCTATCTATCTATCTATATGGTAACACTGACTTTTGTAAATGTTTATAAATGTTTACTAATCATTACCTTATGAGCATTCATCTCGATGGCAAAATGTGTCCCAAATGACCTGAATTCACCCTATTTACACAACTTAACTAATGAATTATTACTCATTTGGTCTTTTTTTTTTTTGCGGTACCCAATCTAAAGTTGAAACTATTCGTCATTTGTAAATATTTATTTATAAATGTTTACTAATCTTTTAGTATCTTTATGGGCATTGGACTTTTAGCTGCTGTAACAACATTTGTGTTGTTAGTTAAAGGAACACGCCACTATTTTTGAAAATATTAATTAATTAATTAATTAATATTAATATTCATTTTCCAGCTCCCCTAGAGTTAAACAGTTGAGTCTGACCGTTTTCGAATCCATTCAGCCGATCTCCGGGTCTGGCGGTAGCACTTTTAGCTTAGCTTAGCATAGATCATTGAATCTGATTAGACCGTTAGCATCTAGCTCAAAAATGACCAAAGAGTTTCTTGAGAGAATATACTTGTTTATTTATCAAAACAATGATTAAGCCGTGCTCCCTTATAGTAATCAATCTAACTAGTCAGTTTTTTCTGTATGTTTTCCTGTCTGTCTATCCTTTTGTTTTTTTCTGTCTGTCTCTTTTATCTATCTATCTGTCTGTCTGTCTGTCTTTTTTTTCTATCTATCTATTATTGCTGTTCATCCATGTGATAATGTCTCTTTTCTTTTTCATTATCCATTGTTTTCTCCAGCTGGTCATTTGACTTTTGAATGTCGTAATTTTGTTCGTGTGGATCCGAGGAAGGACATTGTGTTAGATGTGAGCAGCACCAGCAGTGAGGAGAGTGAAGAAGAGGAACAGGTAGCTGTCAGCAAAGAGAAGATCTTCGACAGCAGCCATTCAAAAGGTCATTTCACTGTTTCACACAATGTTTTATGTTTCCACTTCTGTCTCAGGTCTTCCTGCTCTGTGTGCATGCATATATATTAAACATTTCACTGACACATTTACCTGAATACTGAGAATATTGTTAATAATGATCATTTGTCACTGAATGATTTTTGTGATTGGTAACATGTTTTTTTTTAAATGCATACTTCGTTCACAGGCTCTCATGAAGATTCCAGAAAAGAAAAATGTAAAAAGAAAAGTAAGGACAGATCCCATCGTAAGGCCAAAAAGAGGTACACATTTGATAAATGATAGCATTTTTTTAACTTGCTTAAGTATTTAAAAAAGCAATTTGTAAATGCTTTATAAAAACGTGCTTTAAATGTTGCATTTAAAACATTATATATCAAGTAGTTAATCATAATGGTTTTTTTACTGTTTTATTTTCTTAAATTGATAATTATGGGCTTGATATCTGTGCACATTTTATTTGATGTAGAAAAATCCAATAAAGAAATGATTGAATAGATAGATAGACAGTCAGACGGATGGATAGATGGTGTAGGGATTTCTAGTACATGAACGGACACTGCTATGCTCCTATCAGCCATCAGGAGGTTTGCTAATCATCCCAGCACATGACTCCAATATTCTGGGTCGAATTAATAATAATTAATTCCCTTACAAATTTAAGTAGTCAAGTTATCTGCATCTGGTGGAGAATGCGGGCAAAATATTCGACTGAGAAATTCATGACCCAAGATAATATTATGAATTTTGTCTATTTTTATCCGGAAAAATAGATAAAAGACAAAAAAAACAGATTTGTTGTGGCACTGGATACTTTTGTTGTGTATCAGAGCATGTTGAATGAGTGAAAGTGAAACTCGAGTTGTTCTTTAAAGAATTGAACTGCAGAAAAACGTTTTAATTTTGTCCACCGAGACAAAATAAGTCGCTCTAAGAAAAGCACATGAAGGAAGAAACGGGCGTTTTTCCCCGTTTACTTTCTCTAAAGGCCTTCATAGTTCAATTTGTTGGTGCGTTTTCCACCTCCAAAGTAGTCTATAATAAATAAATCTCCCGGCTTCAGAAGATTAACCTAGCTAGTTAATGCTCTAGCCATTTAATTCACTAAAAAAAAAAAGTGAACTTGAAAACGCGGTACTCACAGAGTGTCCGAGACGTTATTTTGTGATGGGAGAATTGTGAAAGCTTGATCAAATGAAGATAGATGGATGGATGGATGGATGGATGGATGGATAGATAGATATACGGATGGACTGACAGATAGATAGATAGATGGATAGACGGATGGATAGATAGATAGACGGATGGATAGATAGATAGATAGATAGATATACGGATGGACTGACAGATAGATAGATAGATGGATGGATAGATAGATAGATATACGGACGGACGGACGGATAGATAGATATACGGATGGACTGACAGAGATAGATAGATAGATAGATAGACGGATGGACTGACAGATAGATGATGGATGGATGGATGGATGGATAGATAGATATACGGACGGATGGACAGACAGAAAGATAGATAGATGGATGGATAGATGGATAGATAGATAGATAATACGGACGAATAGATGGCTGGATAGATAGATAGATATACGGATGGACTGACAGATAGATATACAGATAGATAGACGGATGGATGGACTGACAGATAGATAGATATACGGACGAATAGATGGATGGATAGATAGATAGATAGATAGATATACGGACGGATGGACAGACAGAAAGATAGATAGACAGACAGACAGACAGCTAGATGGATAGATATACATATATACGGACGGATGGATGGATGGACTGATGGACGGACGGATAGATAGATAGACAGACAGACAGATAGATAATTATTAGATCTTTATTTTCAAGTGACTCTCCTAGTCCTGCATAAATATGCACATACATAATTTATTTAAACTAAAACACTATTTTAATAGATAAAAAATCTTGCCATATGCACCTTTAGAATAGTGACATGAGGTTTTTGTTCCTTTTAGATGTAATTACTGCCCTGTTTGATAATATTCTTATGTTTTTATACTCTCAGGTCTTATTCATCAAGTGATGATGAGGAGGAAGTAAGCAAGAAGAAGAAAAAGCACAAGAGTCACAAGAAGAAAGGGAAGAAGGAAAAAAGGGAGAAAGAGAAGGAACACAAGAAAAACCATAAAAAGAACGAGACCGAGTCCTCTTCATCTGACAGCTCTACTGGATCATCAGACACAGAATGAAGCTTTGACAGGATCACAGCAAAGTGAAAAAACTAACTGGAAAATAGCTATAAAATACCTTCTGCCAGAGCCATTTGTACCTTTATACTTTAGAAATAAGTCTTTTCTTTTATAGTCATGTCTGAGAGTTGGAGTGATGGTTATTTTGTGATGTTTCTAATGAAACTGTATTTTGTATATAAATGAAATGAAGACAACCCAAAATCCTTTCAGGTGAATACTTTTACAAAGTTTGTGTTTTTATAATATTTTACTAGAACTTCTGAACAAAAAAAGACACATTTACTCTACAATAAAGAGTCATGGGCAATTATTTTTACCTTTTAACTCTGTGAGTGGTGATCTGACAGCTTTATTTACAGTTTAGCAATCATTATACAAATACATTAGACTGCAGAATGGCACGAAAGCCAATGAATAATAAAATGCAATCTCATATCTTACAGTATGTAGTTAAGTCTTTCTGCTCATATCTAAAAGTGATATATATGTGTATATCCCAAACAGCAGGTGAGTAGTGATGTTAAAGTCATCTAGATTGCTCACATTCATATTTTCTTTTACGTTTAAATGTTTTATTGTCCTGACTCTGAGGGTGGAGTCCAGCCACTTAGACTTTATCAGGGGGAGGAAAGAAATGGCCCACGCACACGGATGACAAAGCTCTTTTCTATACAGACTCGTTCATTTCTGGAATGAGTTTGCTGATTTTCTAGTGGATTAGGGAAAATTTGTTTCCACATTGTGTGTGTGTGTGTGTGTGCATGTGTATTTAAATAGATCACCTATCTGGTTATTTTTAATTTATTTATTATTTATCTAAATTATTTTATTGTCCTTAATGTCATCATTGCAGTCAGGTATAAATAGGCGCCCAATAACCGTGTGTCCTGTATGGTTATATGTACTCTGAATCTTTAAAGTCATTAAAACTGTAGGTAGTTACTATATTCATGGCAACAGTGTTTTACTTAGCTAGCAATAAAACAATTCTGAGCTTCAAACTGCTGCGCAAACAAAATCCATGTCAGATGTCACATTCAGCAGAAGCCCACTGTCCTTTTTTTTTTTAAAGAAATGGTAGTATCCATGTTTCATTGCCTTATCTTCACAGTCTTATTAGGAATAGCTTTTTTGTCATATTCTACAATAGCTAATTATTATTTTTAAGCTTCAAAATTCCATTTTTTGTCTATAATAATGTATATTTTGTTCTTTGTCTAATAGTTTGGCAGATATGAGAGGTGTGGCAGCAAATAACATCAAGGTGTGTAAGCAAATAGCAGCAAGTTCTTGGAAAAAGACATTTATGGCTATTTATAATCATTAGCTATAGCTAGTGTTACTGGACTTTGAAGCTATTAGAAGGGCAATAAATAATTTGACAATAAAAAAACTTTGTAATTACCTTTTTCTATGTATTTCCAAGGGTGGGTCTTAACATGTGACGTTTCAAACCCTATATAATCTTGGCACATTGTGTGCATGTTTCAGTGCACAGTGGAATAACAGGAAAATCAGGTAAAATCAAGCTGCAATGAAATATTGCCTATACTTTTTGGTAAACTTTCTGTATAAGTAAAACTACATTTAAAAGTCATGTCAACTAACAAAATCTTTAAAATTCTATAGGTGTTTATAGGTTAGAAAAAAATGCTTTGGAGGAAAAAACTTTTCCAAATAACAGCATAAATATTCTTGATGCCCTAAATGTCTTTACCCGTCATAGATCATGGAGGTCACATCTCAACCTGCTGCATTTGAACCCCGAGACTTTCACACGGGTTTGATGAGCTGCTGTGACGACATGGGTGTATGTAAGTGATTCCAATGATACTTGACCTATTGCAAGTAAATCTATCCATCTGATGTGATTTAATTTTAAATATATATATATTTTTAGGCTGTTGTGGCTTCTTCTGTCTCCCTTGTTTGGGCTGTTCTATTGCCAGTGAGATGAATGAGTGCTGCTTATGCGGTTTAGGCATGCCGATCCGAAGTGTATACAGAACTAAATACAACATACCAGTTAGTATCTATCTATATATCTATCTATCTATCTATAATATAGGGCCTATTTATTTACAGTTTTGTGTAATTTGCGTCTGCAGGGATCTATGTGTAATGACTGGATGGTCGCATACTGCTGCTTATGTTGTGCAGCCTGCCAAATGAAGAGAGACATCAAAATAAGGAAGAGTAATGGAACACTGAAACCTTGAGAAGTGAAAAAGGAGCACTATCTATCTACACTACTATAGCAAGTCCTTACGCATTGCTCTTGGAAATGAAAGATTAAAGAAAGTTGAGGTTAATCATTTGAAATGTAATGAAAATGTCTTTGCTATCATAAGTTTAATTAGGCTAAAAAAAACGACATTGTTTCCATTCACTAAGTTTGGAGGGTTTATTTCACCCAAAATTGGCAAAACACTCATCCTTCCACATTCATGTTATCAAGTAATGTAAAGCTCAAAAGAGGTTCAGCGGTGCAACCAGCACATTGCTGATTATGTGTGGCCTGTTGGTTGTGTTGTGCCTATGTATACAGTTAAAGAGAAGCATAATTATGGATGTATGTGGAACTTCAATGCAATGCTATAGACAAATTATATTATTTGTAACAAAGTTACAGTGAATTCTTTCTTTTTTTCTAAAGATGAGATTTAGTTTTCATTCCATGTTTCCCCTTGTGAATGTGAATAGCATCAATGAAAGCATTATCAGTCCTGTATGGGGCTTTTGGAGCCAAACAGCTATCACATTATAAACAAGTTCAATGTTAAAATATGTTCTCCTGTTCCAGTTTATTGTTGATTTGTAAGTTGTTCATAGGTGGACATCCTTGAGACTGAAAACACTGTGGTGCTTTCAAAAAAAAAAAAGAATGGTTTTAATTTCATTGGACCGAAATGTCACCTCGACAGATTCCATTCGGTTCAGCTGATGGCTAAGAAATCACACACCGCACCTTTAAAAGTAAACTACATGATGGTGGACTCTTTGTTAATATCTGTGGCTGACAGTGTTGAACTTCATTAAGAAAACCAAACAAAAGAATGGGTGGCATGAGAACTATGAGGGTGGACTCTGGCAACATTAAGATTTTTTTTTCTTCATTAAGAGTAATACTGAATTAACCTTAAGCATTCATTTTGTTCCAAGAATATGAAAGATCTAACGTTAAATATCAAAATAAGTGCTGTAGAAGCGAGAAGGCGAGATTGTTATTATTATTGGTTGCTGCTGAGGTAATAGATGCTCTCGGTCTTTCTCGGTTGTATCTTCGCAATGGCTGTAGAAATGGTCGTTAATTCTTGATTTGGGTCCGGCACAGACATGTTACAGGTAATAATATGATCAAAAAGTCATGGCAACAAACGACTTCCTAAGTCAGTTTAAGTTGAAACGACTTTCACAATCAATTTGATTAAACTTCATTCATGTTATACTGTTGCTTATTGTCACTGTAGGCTTAGGCTATTTTTTCTATAAATTTTAATGAATATACAAATTAATAAAATTAGTTTTATTTATTTTTTGTTACAAAATTTTCAGTTATTTATTTTTAACACCGCACCCCCAGCCCCCACATTTTTTCTTGGGCTACACGCCAGGGGGTGCTGCAGCACCCTCAGCACCCCTACTTCCCGCAGTAATGCCCTCATACTATGCTCAGGAAGGACAGAACTTCTCATTGGTCCATATGCAGTTTCTACACTTCACTTATCTCGAAACTACCTCCTAAGATTGTGGCCTGTGAACACCATAAAAATTCCGTAGGACTTCCGATTGCAGCAGCAGTGGCTGAAGTAAACAGAGGTCACAAGGATCCATCCAAATCCATTAATAACTATGTTTGAAAACCTTAAAATGTAAACTACAACACATACGCAATAAATATTTCCAGTGGCGGCTATTTGTAGTACAACATCTTACACAAATTCAGCTGATACCATACAAATGAATGCATGCATGATAGTTCATTTCTTTCCTTCATGTTTGGACTCCATGTGTTCAGAACATTGCCAAAGGTATTCTAGTAGTGGTTTGGGAAGTAAGTAACACAGTGGTAAAACTTTTAATAGACACTCCTGGTTTTACTTAACTTGGCACACCAAGTACTAAGTATCTGGTCTGTCCAGTAAGACATTAACAGATACAACCAAGATCTGAATCTCTAGCTTGTGAAGCGGCAACAGATACAACCAACATTCTGAACCTTTACCCTGCGAGGAAAGAAACATTAACAGACACTACGTTCAGAGTCTTAATCCAGCAAGACAACCAAAGATGCAGCACATCCTGAGTCTCCAAATCTTCACTTCAAGGTACCTTCAATTGCATGTTCCAGATTGTTAAGGACCTTCTGCACCTACTTCTGTGCTTCATCTGCGTGTTCCAGACTTTAGAGCACTTTAGTGCTCCGGGAGATCAGCATCTCACAGCGTTTCATGTTCAAGGCTGTTGAAACGGATTCCGGCTCTTTTCCCACTGCATTGTTATCCACACACAACCAGCAGAAGAAGTCACCGCTACCGGACTGCTCACTCAACCATGTGCAACGTAAATATCACTTAATCAAACCTCTTTCCAGAGACCTTGGCATTGTTGTACATTATCAGTTTGTGATTTTCTAATTTACATTAGATGTTATATAGCTGCTGTCAGTTAATAACAAATAATCTTTCATTTATTTATTTGATGCATACGGTAATAAGGTTTTCATAAGGTAACATAAGTCTGCCATAGCAACATTCAACTTATTGACTGACATTTTATGCATCTTGTGCACTGTATTTCCTTTACCATTCATTGTATTCATTTAGTAGTTTTGTTGATTACTCGTTTATCTTTTTGTTAATACAGTTTATTTTATTACACTTGTGTGCTCTTTGTATTAATAATAAAGTAAGAGGCTCTACACATTAACAATATCTCACAAATTCTTCAGATTGGTCAGCTGACAAACTCCCTCTGATTAACTTAATAATACCTGTTCAACAATCTTCCTTGATTATAATTAAATGTTGAGGTGTCAGTATCTCCTGCGCTACTAAGTCCCTCATCTCGGCCACGGAGGCTGATTGGATCTCAAGTTCACCCTCCTCCCTCGTTGCGTTCACTATGGCCATCACTAGTCTCCTCGTCACGGCCACGAGGGCCTTTCCCTATTCCTATGCTCCTGTCTCCTGCGACACGGCCGCGCAGGCTGTCCCAGAAATGCCCATTCTGTCAGACACGGCCACAGAGACCATCACTGAGATGTCTGTTCCTACACTGCCAGCACCTCCCTGGCTACTTGAGCAAATAGTGCCGCCCTGGAGGCCTCCCAGCCTGCCAGCACCACCCTGGTCACATGCATGTTACCTACCATGATTCCAGAGTACCCGCCCTCCCTCCCTCCCTATTTTGTGGCGCGAGGTCGCACCTTCCGGGAGAGGGGAGTAATGTCAGGGTTATGTTCTGTTTGGTCTTAGTTTTCATTGTGTTCTGTTGCTCTTTGCATTTTTGACCAGCTTTACCAATGAGTTTGATTGATTGACCCCATTCACCCGCCATTAGATCATTTTGTTTGCCCTGTGTATTTAAGCCCTGTATTTTGTTCTGTTCGCTATCTTGTCTTAACGTTGCTACCTGGATGTTATTTTCATTTGTTTACTGGATTATCGCTGTTTGTTTTTTTGTTTCAATTAAATACTACTTATCTGATCTTCAAGCCTGATCATTCTGTATCAGTCAACAAGCAGGTGTGACAATTTTCTTAAATATTCTATCAAATACATTTTTGTATTAAATATTTAGAAAAATTCATATATATAGACATATTAACATTAGACAGAAACATACTAAAGCTGTGTTGTAATTTGTTGTGACTTCATTTGTCCGTAAGTCAGTAAAGCTATAAACGTTTACTGCCCAGTAAAGTCTGGGCCAAGTTGAATCCAGTAAGCAGGCATCACAGGGGCATGTCTGACTGTGACGTGTATACTGGATATTTCCAATATTACGTAATAAAAAATTTTTTTCCTTTATTGCTGATATTATATTCATTGATAATTACAAGTTATGCCAAGAAATGATTTGAATGTAAGCTGATTTACCCTACTTTAACATTTTTGCAATAAGCTTTTAATGTAATATTTCTATGCTTACAATCAGGAACTTAAATAAATATTTCTATATTTTCCATTTGTTTTTTTTGTTTGATTGTCATTGATTGTCATTCGCAGTTTTTTATGGCATTGTAGTTCCTTCACTCCTTCATTAAAGACTCTTTCTTAAAATCCCTCGTTTATTTTTCAACAACGTTTTGTTTTAAGTGTAATGAAATATTTGCATTTAAGATCTTAGAACTTTCTTATAACTCTTCAATAAAGAAGTAACAGTTTAGGGTCAATACGTTTCTTTTTTCTTTTCTTTCTTTTGAAGAAGAAGATGAAGAAGAAATAAATTACTTTTATTCAACAAGGACACATTAAATTTATCAAACGTGACTATGTGTGTGGCACTGAAGACTGGAGTAATGATGTTGAAAATTCATCACAGGAATAAATTACATTTTAAAATATATTCAATTAGAAAACAGTTATTTTACATTGTAATAATATTTTACAGTATGTTTAGCTATAATGATATGTTGTGTCATTGTCTTTGTAAAAACAGTGCTTAACAAGGATGACTGACGTGGCAGCACATTTCATCACTAAAAGGTGTGATAGAAAACATAATATATGGCTTTTAACCATTTAGAACTTTGGACCTAAAGGAAGTGCAATATATATTTCCGCAATACAACTGTCAGTATAAAGTTTTTATGACATTTACTCTAGATTTGAAGGGTGTGTCTGAATATGTGACTTCCCAACTGTATATAAAGACATTCTGTGCCAGTTTCAGTGGGTAGAGGATTTTTCTGACTCAACGAAAAAGAAGGCAAATGTACGTACATTTAAATATACCTAATTTTTGAGGAACTTGTTGTATAAATCAATCCTCTACTTAAATTTCACATGAACTAAATTTGTTTGTAAAAACTTTGCAATTTTGAAAAAAAAAAAGTGTTTCGGCGTAAATATTCCCGATGCCTCACATTTCCTTACTTCTAGATCATGGAAGTCACATCTCAGCCGGCTGCTTTTGAACCCACAGACTTTCACACGGGCTTGATGAGCTGCTGTGAAGACACAAGCGTATGTAAGTGATTCCAATGGCACTAAACAAATACATTGTTACTACATTGTAATCTATAAAGTCTAAGTAGTCATAACGTGACTTTAACATCAGTCATATATTTCAAAATAGGTTGTTATGGCTGTTTCTGTCTCCCTTGTTTGGGCTGTTCTATTGCCAGTGAGATGAATGAGTGCTGCTTATGCGGTTTAGGCATGCCGATCCGAAGTGTTTACAGAACTAAATACAACATACCAGTTAGTATCTATCTATCTATCTATCTATCTATCTATCTTCTATCTATCTTCTATCTATCTATCTATCTATCAAGGACACATTAAATTTATCAAACGTGACTATGTGTGTGGCACTGAAGACTGGAGTAATGATGTTGAAAATTCATCACAGGAATAAATTACATTTTAAAATATATTCAATTAGAAAACAGTTATTTTACATTGTAATAATATTTTACAGTATGTTTAGCTATAATGATATGTTGTGTCATTGTCTTTGTAAAAACAGTGCTTAACAAGGATGACTGACGTGGCAGCACATTTCATCACTAAAAGGTGTGATAGAAAACATAATATATGGCTTTTAACCATTTAGAACTTTGGACCTAAAGGAAGTGCAATATATATTTCCGCAATACAACTGTCAGTATAAAGTTTTTATGACATTTACTCTAGATTTGAAGGGTGTGTCTGAATATGTGACTTCCCAACTGTATATAAAGACATTCTGTGCCAGTTTCAGTGGGTAGAGGATTTTTCTGACTCAACGAAAAAGAAGGCAAATGTACGTACATTTAAATATACCTAATTTTTGAGGAACTTGTTGTATAAATCAATCCTCTACTTAAATTTCACATGAACTAAATTTGTTTGTAAAAACTTTGCAATTTTGAAAAAAAAAAAGTGTTTCGGCGTAAATATTCCCGATGCCTCACATTTCCTTACTTCTAGATCATGGAAGTCACATCTCAGCCGGCTGCTTTTGAACCCACAGACTTTCACACGGGCTTGATGAGCTGCTGTGAAGACACAAGCGTATGTAAGTGATTCCAATGGCACTAAACAAATACATTGTTACTACATTGTAATCTATAAAGTCTAAGTAGTCATAACGTGACTTTAACATCAGTCATATATTTCAAAATAGGTTGTTATGGCTGTTTCTGTCTCCCTTGTTTGGGCTGTTCTATTGCCAGTGAGATGAATGAGTGCTGCTTATGCGGTTTAGGCATGCCGATCCGAAGTGTTTACAGAACTAAATACAACATACCAGTTAGTATCTATCTATCTATCTATCTATCTATCTATCTTCTATCTATCTTCTATCTATCTATCTATCTATCAAGGCATTCTGTATTTTCATAATTACTTCTATTGTTTTAAATATGGTTTAAGTGTGCTGCCGAATGTACTGACAAGCAATTATTCTAAACTAAAATTTAAATATATTTGTACTGATGAAGTTGCAATGTGGTATATGAAAAATATATTAACTTTAAATGTAACATTGATATAATCAAGTACAAGTATTTTTCATGTGCTTTAGTATGTTAGTCAACAAAAGCATGACAAAAGAATATTAAAGCAATGATTTATAATGTACTTTGAAGTAAAACTCTTAATTTAACATTATTACATAGTGCACTTTTTAAAAGCGTACTTAAGTTGTGTCAGTCATGAAAGTGTCTCTCTAACACTTAAGTGGTCTTTTATTTCATTAGTATTATATTGTTTGCAAGTACAGTTTTTTAAAATATAGTTTTAAGATTTGAAGTACAAGTGTGCATTTAATACAATTAACACACTTTTGTCCTTTTTTATCTGTCTATCTATCTATCTATCTATATATCTATCACAAATTAATATATATGTATATTTTGTCTTATCTCTGCAGGGATCCCTGTGTAATGACTTTTGGGCCGGTTACTTCTGCATGCCTTGTGCAGCCTGCCAGTTGAAGAGAGACATTGACATTAGGAAGCGTACTGGAGAATTCTAAGGAAAAGCTATCTTACAAGGAACAAAAGCCCTGAACATAATTATTCTGTGTGTGTTTTAAAGGCAACAGGGACAATGCTATCTAGCAGCCAATCTATAGTACACTACCATCTAGACAATGAATTATTGCCCTTTGGAACTCAATAAAAATCTGTTATATATGCAAATACTTTAAACTAATCAACCTTATGACTTCATGAAAGTACAGGCGACATCGGATTGATAACAGTTTGTGTACCACAGACATCATGTTACTCAAAATGGGCGTTGCTCAATGTCATGCTTCCAGATTCATTTTATAATAGAGGTCCAATAGTGAAGAAATCACACTGATTATATGATCAGATTATGCCATGTTGGTTGTGTTGTGAAGCTATGTGTGCCTGTAAGTTAAGAGTCCGTCTTTAGGAGAATATAGTTTCACTTTGTATTATTTTATTATTAATTTGTATCATTTGCAACATGTTCTTTTAATACAGTTAGATTTACTGTAATGTATATTCTTAGTTACATCCACATACATGTTTTGTAGTCACTAAATTATAAGAAAGAGCATTTAATTTTAAATATGTAGTTGATGTTATTGTCATACATTAGACAACAAGATCTGTAAATGTCTTACTATAATAAAGTTACTCAAGGTGTTTCATAAAGCCTTCCAATGTAACACATAAAATACAGAAATAAAGAAAAGAATAGCATCTTGTCTTTTTGAAGACATGATTTAGCATGAGCTGCATTTCTCCATGCTAGGAAAACATTGGCCCGGGGCAATATTCTCCATATTGCAAAGTTCAGACATCTAATCTCAAGTCTTCTAAACTCTTCTAAAAAGTCTACAGCACGTGGCACTGTGCCACCTTTGATGACATGAGTTTGAACATAACACATTTTCTTGTACAGTTTCACAAAACATTACCACAGATTCATTGTCATCTCACATTTCCTGTCTGACAACTGAAGGAACAAAGTCTGATTGTATGAATCACAGCATCATAATACCCAGCTTGCTCATTAGCACAGGACTGTTTTACTGCAAATTGACTTTTATAAAAATTTATGAGTATGCTGTAGGTGTGGCAAGTGCTGTAAATTTTTTTTTTTTTTTTTTGCAGTTAAAGAATTATTGTGGTGTGACAAAATTTTAAAAAGTATAAATATTCCTAATAATAGTAATTGGAAACTATATGTGTGAGAATTATATTAGAATTAGTGTGAGTGTGACATTAAACCTTTAAAAAAATACAAATATTATTTTGAATTGTGCACTCTATTATTTATTATATGACACTTCACTGTGGACTGTGCTATAACTGGCTGACACTTTTGAATTGCACTTTCTATTTTACCTGTTGTATATTAGTTTTATGAATGGAATGTGACTGTGTATTTTTTTATGTGGGTATGCACTGAAGCACCGCTGGGAGGGGTATCTGAAATGTGTTGTATTTCGATTCGATTCGCAATTACAATAAAGGCTTCTAATCTTAACCTATCATAATTCATGAAGCAGAAAAGCTAAAAAATATTCTATGAAACTTTCCATATGGCAACCTCAACCTTGATATGCAGTTTATTGGAGCTTTAGATCATCATCTCTGTACACACACGTGCATAAATATACATGCTGTCACGCCCAGGCCCTCCAGGACTGAGTTTGGTGACCCCTGCTTTAAACTAATCAACTTTATGACTTCATGAAAGTACTGTTATGAGCACTGGATTGATAACAGTTTTTGTACCACAGCCATCATGTTACTCAAAATGAGCGTTGCTCAATGCCATGCTTCCAGATTCATTTTATAATAGAGGAAATCACACTGATTATATGATCAGATTATGCCATGTTGGTTGAGTGCCGCATTACGAATATGTATGGTGTCTACATTATATCTATTGTATTACTTAGATGTCTCTGAATAAAACGGTAAGTAAATGGTTTAATACAGTGCTATATTGAATCAAATCAAAGTATTGCCAAGTAAGCGTTAAGTAAAAATTACTCAAACTTTTACTGGCCACGCTAAAGTTATTTATTTTCTTAACTTAGGTAAGTAGATTTTACTTAATTCAGTATGTGAAATTAAATATAATTATTTAATATTTACTTAATCAACAATAACAGGTCAATTGTACAGAGCAGTAGCAGTAAAATTTACTAAAAATGTGTAAGTGCAAATTGTTATGAAGATTTTATCAAGTCATATCATATACCCTTGATTTCATCAAGGGTATATGATTTAGCATGAACTCCATGTTTCTCCGTGCTGGGAAAAAAATGCAATTATAATTTAAAACATTTTAAATTACAGTTCTGAATCCTTTTTGCAACATAATTGCTACCCCTTCAGCACGAGGCCCAGGACAATGTTCTCCATGTTTCATTTCTCTGTACATTCACTCTCCTTCAGCTCAAGTCACTCCACACTCTTAAAAATAAAGGTGCTTCAAAAGGTTCTTCACATCACAGCGATGCCATAGAAGAACCATTTTTGGTTCCACAAAGAACCATTCAGTCAAAGGTTCTTTAAAGAACCATCTCTTTCTTACCTTTTTGTAATCTGAAGAACCTTCTTTCGCCACAAAAAAACCTTTTGTGAAACAGAAAGGTTCTTCAGATGTTAAAGGTTCTTTATGGAACCATTTAGACAAAAAGGTTCTTCTATGGCATCGCTGTGATGTGAAGAGCCTTTTGAAGCACCTTTATTTTTAAGAGTGCAGTCTGTGCACAGCAGATGGCACTGTGTCAACTTTCATGGCATGGCTCGAGAGTTGAATCTGAACATATCCAGTGGAGTTGCTAGGGATTCTGGGTCCATTGCACAGAATTTGCAATTGGGCCCCCTCAAAATCCCTTCACTCAGTCTGGGGCCCTCTCAGCCTCTGGGCCCTATATGCACTCTGTCCCCTTTTCCCCACTGGTTGTCACACATATTCTTTGTTCAATTTCAAGTTAATACAATTAAAATTGTATACAATTTAAAGTGTATGTATTAAGGTATTTTGTAGATGCTGTAACTGTTGTAACAATTCTTTTAGGTTTACCACAGTTTTTAATAACCGTTTAGCTTTTTTTGTTTTTTTTTTGCAGTTAATTAAAATAATCCTGTGGTGTTACAAAATATATTTTTTAAAGTATGTATATTACAAATAGTTGTTAGAAACTATAGGTATAATAATTATATGAGACATTGCCCTGTGTTTGTATCTTGAGTTTGCTGGTTATTGTTGCTGTGTTCTTCATATCCCGAGTTCCCGAGTTCTTTGATTTTGTAAATAAAATACTACTGTTGCAAGTTGACCCAAGCCTAGGATTGTGCTTCCTGCTAGGCAGTCGAAGTTGGAGATCTCAGGTTGAGAGCCAAACTCTCTGGCCGGGTTGATAGTTGGGGTGGGGATGCCTTCTCTAATCCGCTTGGATCCACTGGGCTCTTTCGGCTCTCTGAAGCCTCACATGAGCACTGTCCCACACCTGTCCCCCTGCGGCACTGTGGAGGGTTCACCTGACCAAGGAAACATAAGGGGGGCTGGTAGCCCAGAACACACTGGAACGGGGTAAGACCAGTAGACGAATGGGTGAGGGAGTTTTGAGCATATTCAGCCCATGGGAGGAAGTTTCTGCATTTCTCCTGTTCTCTACTGCAGTAAGACCGGAGTTAACGTTAGATTTCTTGGTTTAGTCTCTCCACTTTGCCTTTAGACTCATGATGATACCCAGAAGTGAGACTTATGTTGGGTTTTAGATTGAGCACAGACTGAGCAGGCCTTGATGAAATTAATAGTGTCCCCGTTGATGTTTGGCCACCAGAATGCATTATGTACCATGGTTGTGGTTCGGTGGATACCAGGATGTCCAGAACTTAGCGAAGTGTGGCCTCACTGCAATGTCCGATGGCGTAGAGCTTGAGGGACATATTGTCGATTCGGAGGGCATTCTGGTGGAGGTGGGTCATCTTGTTGTGCTTGTTGAATTTCCTCCATAATGTCCCAACTGATTTGAGCAATGACTACAGAAGGCGGTAAGATGGGCACAATAGGATGGTCGATCTGTTCTGAATAATGTGCATCGGCCTTGTGATTCTTGTTGCCTGGGAGGTATGTCACAGTAAAATTGAAGCGGGTGAAAAATAAGGACCAGCGGGCCTGCCTGGGCTCCTTAAATATATTCAAGGATGAACTTCCCCCTCTAATGGTGCCATTCTTCCAGCGCTGCCTTCATCAAGAGAAGTTCTTTATTGCCCACATCGTAATTCCTCTCTGCAGCATGTAGTTTACGTGAGAAGAAGGCACAGGGATGAAGCTTACCGGGGCTGCCATGGTGTTGCGAGAGTACCGCACCAATCCCACAGTCTGAGGCATCTACTTCCACTACGAAGGCCAGTTCTGATTCTGAATGTTTCAAGATGGGTGCTGTGGTAAAGCTGGTTTTGAGTTCCTCTTATCTCTGGAATGTAACCATATAGGGCAGGGTTCCTCAAATCTTGCCCTGGAGGGCCAATGCGCTGCAGAGTTTAGCTCCTGAAGACATTGATTAGCATGCTCAGGTGTGTTTGATTAGGGTTAGAGCTAAACTCTGCAGGAAAGTGGATCTCGTGGGCCAGATTTGAGGATCCCTGATATAGGGCCTTAAAATTGAAGACACCCAAAGAAAAGTTAGTTAAGAATGTGAAAGTTTTCGGCTGATGATGAGCACGAGCCACTTATTACCACTTATGTGGCTTGTTTCTGTTGGGTTTTGCTAATTGTGTTGTGGCGGATTCGTTGTGTTGCGCACTAATGGACCACCGTAGGGTGGGATCTAATACTTTCTAAGCTAGCTTGCTATTGCTAGCCTCGCCGAAATCTCCTCCCTATAGCTTTAAAAATATGTTGCTCTCTTAGAGATGCATTTCTGCAAATGTTTGCTATTGCTTGTGACATAGTAACCATAGGAAGATGCTAGACAAATGATGCTGGACTTGTACTTTCTTGACTCTCTGACTTCTCATTTCTATTCTCTTTGTTTTTGTAATGACATCAAGTAATCATTGATTAAAATGGTTGTGGTTGTGATGTAGATGGATTGTGCATACACAGTCAAATCAGATCCGTATGGAACACAGTAAGTAAATAAGCTTGATGACAAAATTGTTTATGGTTCACTTCTCGTAGGCTGGATGTTCTTCAGGTGAAGATACTGATAAAATAGTGAACAGCATCAATGAAAACTTAATACCTACTATTGTCGCAATCGCTATTGTGAGGGAGCGAGGAGACGTGGAGTACATCAACAAGGACATTTTAATAACATCAAGGGAACCAAGAAAACACGCATAAAGGAGGTTGACATAAACAATACCGGACGAAGGAAGACAGGGCAGACTACACTTTAAATACTGGAGCAAATGAAGCTAATAAACAAAACACAGCTGGAAACAAATGATAAACTAATCAGGGAACATAATGGGAACAGGAAGGACCAAATAAGGGCATAAGGAAACACATGGGAAAACCAGGACATGGAGTACATGGAACAAAGAAACACAAAACAGGTCCATAACCCTGACAACTATGTGATATTATATTCTATATGATTGTTTCAGTGAAGCAAGAAGTATCAGCTGCAATAACTAAATGTAGTCACTGACTTTTCAGCAACTCAGAGCAGCTATGACAGGGGAGGTGTCTTCACCATGTGACCAGGTCTTCAATGTAAAAACACACAGTTAATCTCTAAAAAATCTTTCAGGATGGTATAAAGAATCCATCCCTTCATTTAAACTTGCTTTTTTTTTAGTTGTTGTGTTATTGAAGGACCATTGCAACTTACAATGGCACCTCTCATGCCCACCAGTTTCCCGAAGAAATGTTTTGTACCAGACAGAAGTGCTTTTGCTGTCTTTTTGCTTTTGATTATTTTCCAATATGTGTTTAAGTTGGATTTGGAATGTCCTTGTGACTCTGGGAAAAATACTTGTGTCTGTGCAATTTGCATAAGTTTACCTACCATCTCACTTCTCA